CTCACTTATGAAGCTCACTTTGGCTGGATATGAAATTCTGGGTTGAAAGTTCTTTTCTTTAAGGATGTTGAATATTGGCCCCCACTCTCTTCTGGCTTGTAGGGTTTCTGCCGAGAGATCTGCTGTGAGTCTGATGGGCTTCCCTTTGTGGGTGACCCAACATTTCTCTCTGGCTGCCCTTAGTATTTTCTCCTTCATTTCAACCCTTGTGAATCTGACAATTATGTGCCTTGGGGTTGCTTTTCTTGTGGAATATCTTTGTGGTGTTCTCTGTATTTTCTGCAGTTGAGTGTTGGCCTGTCTTGCTAGGTGGGGGAAATTTTCCTGGATAATGTCCTGAAGAGTATTTTCCAGCTTGGATTCATTCTCTTCGTCACATTCTGGTACACCTATCAAACGTAGGTTAGGTCTCTTCACATAATCCCACATTTCTTGGAGACCTTGCTCATTTTTTTTTTTTTGCACTTTTTTCTCTAATCTTGGTTTCTCGTTTAATTTCATTGAGTTGATCTTCGACTTCTGATGTTCTTTCTTCTGCTTGGTCAATTTGGCTGTTGAAACTTGTGCATGCTTCGCAAAGTTCTCATGTTGTGTTTTTCAGCTCCTTCAATTCATTCATACTCCTCTCTAAGTTGTCCATTCTTGTTATAATTTCCTCGAATATTTTTTCCAATCTCTTTTCGAGGTTCTTAGTTTCTTTGCATTGATTTAGAACATGTTCTTTTAGCTCACAGAAGTTTCTCATTATCCACCTTCTGAAGTCTAATTCCGTCATTTTGTCACACTCATTCTCTGTCCAGCTTTGTTCCCTTGCTGGTGAGGAGTTTTGGTCCTTTGAAGGAGGCGAGGTGTTTTGGTTTCGGGTGTTTTCTTCCTTTTTGTGCTGGTTTCTTCCCATCTTTGTGGATTTATCCACCTGTCGTCTGAGTAGTTGCTGGCTTTTTGATTGGGTCTCTGAGTGTACGCCCAAATTGTTGATGCTGAAGTATTTCTGTTACTTAGTTTTCTTTCTAACAGTCTAGCCCCTCTGCTGTACGACTGCTGAGGTCAACTCCAGCCCCTGCTGCTGTGGGCTCCGCCCTGCCATCCTGGGCTCCGCCCTGTTGCCTCCATCCTGGGCTCTGCCCTGCTGTTGTGGGCTCTGCCCTGTTGGCGGAGTCTCTCCATTGTAGCAGGTTGCCTTGGCAATGGCAGGCTGCATCAGCAATGGGCATGTACCTCAGTAGGGGCGGAAGACGCCCGTCTCCCACAAAGCTGCACCGTCCTAGATTCAGCTGTGCCTGCGGTGAAACTCTCAACCCCAAGCATTTCCCATGGACGTTTTGTTTGTCCCTGTGGGGGTGGGACCTGCCGAGCCTGATCACTTGGCTCCCTGCCTCAGAGCCCTTTCTCCCTCTTATTTTATTTTTTTTTAATTTGAACGGTTGACTCTCTCCCAGGGGTTTTAGTCGCCTGCTGGTAAGGCACCGGGATCTGTGTGATTTCCCGTGCAGCGGCCCACTGCACTGGCTCAAATGTCGCTTCCCGGGAATCTCCTTGTCTGGCTCACTGTCCAAGTCCTGTTTAATCAGATGGATATGCTAATCTGCCCTCCCAAATGTCAGATTGCCAGTTTAACAGGGCACTCAGATCAGTGCGTTTTGTGCGGGGTGCCGCTGCGCTGCGGCGCCGGCCGTTTGCCGGGAGTGCTGAGCTGGCTTCCCCTGTCTCTCCAACACCTGGTAATTTCCCCATTCTGTGGGAAACAAAGATCCTTCTGGAAATGCGGCTAGGACTCACCCTCTGCGCGTTCGTTCATGGAGAGCTGCAATCCGGAGTTGTTCCTACTGCACCATCTTGGAAAACCCCCTTATTTATTTATTTTTTTAATTACTCTTTCTGTGGCATAGCTTCTTCATCTGTAAAAAAATAATAGTACTTCACAGATTTGTCCTAATAGTTAAATTAGATGAGGTGAGGGAAGAGTACACTGTTATAACAGTGCCTAGGATATAATCAGTGCTCATTAAGTTCAGTTGGTATCCTTAACAGTCATGAGAAAAATAAAGGGCCACACTTGTGTGGCACTGATACGCTTACAGAGGCCTAGAGTCACATTTGTCATTTTTCTATTGGCCCATCTCAGTGTCTGAAATCTCTACTATTATTATAATAGTTATTTCTTCGGTTTAAGAAAACAGTTGTGTTATCCACCAAGGCTAACTAACACATGAACAACTCTTGATACCAAAATATACACTAATTATTAGGATTATCCCCAGAAGAAATAGATCCCTAAGGGTGTGGGACAAGTGCGATATTGTATTTACAAGAGTAAGACATTTAAGTGTGAAAAGGAGGAAACACATAAGCGTTCATTGTCACTGTAAAGATCGTGGTCAGCTTGAGTAATAGAAGGTCTTGGATTCCTGGCTAGGGAAGAGTGAAGAGTGTGTGAAGACACCTACAAGACTTTCAGGTTTACCCAAGGCTGTCTTTGGCTTTATGCTCTATCTTTCTGGTGTTACAATATAAACATGGAAAATAGGATTTACAAGAGAAAATATGTATAGTGGTTACAAGCATATGCAGACTACCTGGGTTCCAACCTGAATATACCACTTATTAGTATAACCTTGAGCAATGCCGTAACTTCCCTTTGACATCTGTAAAATGAACATAATGATAGATTTCATGGGGATGCTGAAAGTAATCTAATTATATTAGATAATACCTAAAAACAATGTCTGACAGTTAGCAAAAGCCCAGTTAATATTATTAGCTCCTATCACTGTTATCGTAGTTTGCTATTATTGCAGCTGCTTTAATTATTTCATTTCTTATTTTCCTGAGTCCCACTTAATTTTGCTTGCCTTGTATGAGCCTTTGGCTGAATTTGAAGTTCAAAACTTCCAGATCTTTTTGATCCCTATTTTATTATAGTCTCAGTATTCTACCAATGATCTGAATTGTAAAATGACATTGCCACTATAACCTTTGTTGGTGAATTAATAAATTTGAAAGCAAAGTTTTAATTATTTTAGTTCTATGTCTAGTTGAAATTCTATCACTAAAATTTGTGCAAATCACTTAATTGCCTTGTGTTGTAGTTGCCTAACTGCAAAATTAAAAATACTGTCTAAATGTAGTTTCATTTGCAAATTATAGCACTTGAGAATTGCCCCTCAAGTTTCTGAAATTCAGATTCTCTAAGTTGAGAAGATGATTAACCTAATCAGATTTCATTTGATAAAGAGTTAAGAATAGGCATCTCCATTTGTATTAGTCTGTTCCTGCATTGCTAAGAAGTACCTGAGACTGGGCAATTTATAAAGAAAAGTGTTTTAACTGGTTTAACTGGCTCATGGTTCTGCAGGCTATACAGGAAGCGTGATGCTGGGGAGGTCTCAGGCAACTTACAGTCATGGTGGCCAAACAGGGAGCCAGCACTTCACATGGCTGGAGCAGGAGGAAGAGACCAGGGAGTTGCCACATACTTTTAAACAACTGGATCTCATAAGAACTCACTATTGTGACCACAGCATCAAGGGATGATGGTTTTAAACCATGAGAAACTGTCCCCATGATCCAGTCATCTCCCACCAGACCACATCTCCAACATAAAAATTACAATTCAACATGAGATTCAGGCGGGTTACACAGATCCAAAGCGTGTCACCATTCAAGTTTTTAATCTTCATAAATGCCAAAATTTTAAAAGACTGCTGGGTAATCCTAAATTGCTCCACTGAGCAGATTAACAATTACTATGAATAGCATCATTTTAAACAAATGCAAAAGTATTGGTGTAATGACAATAAAATGTTATTAAACAAGATGACCACAACTGGAGATTTGGGAAAATTTCATCTAAGTTGAGTTCTCTATTCACAATGTATAAATTGCTTAAATTTTATCCCTTTATGGTGATAGTTTAGTTTAACTATATTTCTAAGCATTAACCTCAAGCATTGAAGCTCAGAGTGTGGAATTTCACCCGCTATTCAGTGGGCAGAGAAGGTATTCTTTGGACATCAGGATCTTTTAAGTAGCCTTAAAACTATAGTAATCTGGGTGATGCATTTCCTCAAAGGCTAGCCCAGCTTATGTCATCCAAGCATGCCACTCTCTATAGAGCACACTTAAAACTTTTTAGAACAGAAATGGCAGATGTGTTTTAGCTCACTTGCCAGTGCTTGTTGATTGTCAGTAATTACATGAGTCTCTCTTGAAAACAGTTCTGACCCCAAGTTATAAATTAGCAGACAAGAATGTGTGATTAACAGTGTATGAAGGAAAGGGACCATCAGCATTTTTGTTAAGTTTTTTTTAATCCTAATCCTAAACCTCAGATTCTTTAAGGTCACAAACTATGTCGGACTCACTTTGGTATCACAGCTACCTAGCTTGGACCACTGTGTGTGTACTTAATAAATGTTTATTAAAATTAACTAATTCATATTCTTAAATTATTTTGTACTATATATAGATTTTAATTATAATACTCTTTCATGTTTTTTTTTATTTAAAAAAAGAATCCAGGCCGGGCACAGTGGCTCAAGCCTGTAATCCCAGCACTTTGGGAGGCCGAGGCAGGTGGATCATGAGGTCAAGATATCGAGACCATCCTGGTCAAAATGGTGAAACCCCGTCTCTACTAGGGATACAAAAAATTAGCTGGGCATGGTGGCGCGTGCCTGTAATCCCAGCTACTTGGGAGGCTGAGGCAGGAGAATTGCCTGAACCCAGGAGGCGGAGGTTGCCGTGAACCGAGATCGCGCCATTACACTCCAGCCTGGGTAACAGGAGCGAAACTCCGTCTCAAAAAAAAAGAATCCAAATACAGAGATGAAAAATGACTTGTACCATATTCTGAGAGCACATGGACTGAAAGCTTGTGACTAGAATCCACTACTTTTCAACCTCTTACTCCTGGAGCCCATCCTGTTGGCCAAGGGCTTTTAGATTGCTGTGAAGGAGAGCTTTTATATACTAACAATTTTTTTTTATTTTTTCCCAAGGTCTGTCGAGTTGCTTATGAAATCATGCAAACACTGCATCCTGATGCCTCTGCAAACTTCCATTCTTTAGATGACATCTACTATTTTGGGGGCCAGAATGCCCACAACCAAATTGCCATTTATGCTCACCAACCTCGAACTGCAGATGAAATTCCCATGGAACCTGGTGATATCATTGGTGTGGCTGGAAATCATTGGGATGGCTATTCTAAAGGTGTCAATAGAAAACTGGGAAGGACGGGCCTATATCCCTCCTACAAAGTTCGAGAGAAGATAGAAACGGTCAAGTACCCCACATATCCTGAGGCTGAGAAATAAAGCTCAGATGGAAGAGATAGACAACCAAATTCAGTTGAAACCATTTGAGCCAAACTGTAGATGAAGAGGGCTCTGATCTAACGGAATAAGGTTAAATGAGTAGATATCCTCAGCACGAAGAGCAGCTGGGAAGTGACAGAGGCTTCAGTTGGTGGAATTCCTCTTTAACAAGGGCTGTAATGCCCTCAAACCCATGCACAGTACAATAATGTACTCACATATAACATGCAAACAGGTTGTTTTCTACTTTGTCCCTTTCTTTCAATACGTCCCCATAAGACAAACACTGCCATATTGTGTATTTAAGTGACACAGACATTTTGTGTGAGACTTAAAACATGGTGCCTATATCTGAGAGACCTATGTGACCTATTAAGAAGACCTGAACAGCTCCCTACTCTGAGGAAGTTGATTCTTAGTTGGTGGTGGTATTGTGACCACTGAATTCACTCCAGTCAACAGATTCAGAATGAGAATGGACGTTTGTTTTTGTTTTTGTTTTTCCTTTATAAGGTTGTCTGGTTTTGTTTTTGGGTTTTTTTTTTTTTTTTTAATAATTGCATCAGTTCATTGACCTCATCATTAATAAGTGAAGAATACATCAGAAAATAAAGTATTCACTCTCCACTAGAAAATTTTGTAAAACAATGCCATGAACAAATTCTTTAGTACTCAATGTTTCTGGACATTCTCTTTGATAACAAAAAATAAATTTAAAAAAGAAATTTTGTAAAGTTTCTAGAATTTTGTATCATTCAATGATATGGTGATAGCTTTATAGTAGAAGAACTATGATAAAAAACGGAACTTTTTAGTTTTTCAGCTTTTTTACTTTGTTTTTTTTTTTTCCTGTTTCTGGTGTAGTAACTAATTCTTAACTCAGAGACATTAGTCCATTTTAATACTGAAAACCAATTTTCAGTGGTACACCTTACAAAATTGCTAAGAACACTCTTTGGGAGCTTTCATTTTCTTATTTTGTACACTGTTTTAATTGAGTGAAATAATCATACTCCTTGCTCCCAGAGAAGCTCCATTTCTAAAACTATTTCAGGTTTGTTTGGTCATCTTTCTTACTGTATTTATTATCGCTTTTTGTGTGTAGGGTCTTGTTTTATCCAGGAACCAGTTTCTGCCCTAGCCTATCATGTCCTGCTTTTGAGAGTACCAGGAATCTTTGGGATTGGGAAGCTGGCTGTTTCTGAAGTATATGTCTCATAGTATGTAGAACTTGGTGACCAAGGGAGAAGAGGGACCAGTGGGAGACTCCCAATGGATTGAATCTTGGGATTATCTCTTCCAAATACTTCCATGTTAGATTCACTTCAGAAAATAAGACTTTGATGGTTTGTCTCTGAACATCACTTTTCTCCTCATAAAAACACTCCCTTATTTTATGTAGCCTGCTTCCTACAGATGCCTGGCGGGAGTTACTACATTCTAAAAGAAAAATTTGATCTATGTAGAACGAGTATCAGGCCTGGTGTTAAGTATCAGGGATCCTAGGCAGAAAAGCTGTTATTCCTGGCCTTCACCAAATTAAAATACTGTATATAAAATCTCACCACCAAACTTAACTGAATTCCTTTTCTCAACTCAAGCCTCCCAAAGAAAAAAGAAATTAACAGCCTACAGTGTCAGCAAGCAATCTCCCATTTAGTTTTGGTTACAAGTAGAAGTCATCTGAAACAGTCTCCAACTGAGCAGAGGTAATTTTGAATATAAGTTATTTTGCAACTTGCATCTTATATGTCATTGGAACATCAGTAACTGTGGATCTGATTGTGTCCTTATAGAAGATCCAAAGGTAAATTTAGTCTCTGCATTCTAAGTTGACCTAGTTCTAGGCGTGAAAGGACCAAAGAACAAATATGAAAGAAATGAGCATTTCCCAAAGGGAGTTGAAGACTTAAATTTGAAATTTATCTTTCAGTTCTAGAATTTCTTCTTAATTCTTTATATTTCTACTAAGGTTACTTATTCACCACAAGCATGTTTTCATTGAACATAGTTATAACTGCTTTAAAATTCTTTTCTGGTAAATTTGACATCTGGATAATCTTATAATTGGTCTCCATTGTTTATCTTCACAGAATGGTCAGATTTTGGGGGGAGGTCCCTCATATATTGAATGATTGAGATTGTGTCTGAACATTGTAAATGTTTATGTGTGGATTCTGTTATATTGCTCTCAAAAGTGCTATGAGATACGTATGTATATATATATAACTGTGTTAGCAGGCATTTAACTTTCTTGGACCCAAATTGTAAACTGTGACTTGGTCAGCAACTGAAAATCTCAATTCAGTTCTTTTGTCTTTAGCTGGAGTCTATGCTGCACATAGTTCGGGGCTCAGCCAGAGAGATGGATAGAATTTATGTGCAAAATTCGTGGTGCTTTTTCTTTGGCTCCCTTTCTTCTGAGATTCCCCCACCTCACTTTCCAGCAACTGTGTTTGCTCTGGTTCTTAGACCAGAAAGACTGCAGTTTTCTTTCAGCCCAAAAGCTATACAACAGGAAACTAACCTTGTGCCATTCCCTTCTTTAAAATTTCAACCTCTTTTCAGAATTTGCCTCTGTTATTATTCAGTCTCCTAACGTCTTGTGTTTTTTTGTATGTTGTGGAAAGTTTATAGTTGTTATCTGTTGGAATATTGGTTCAGTGGGTGTTTACTCTTCCATTAACTTAAGAGGAAAAAACAGCAGGGGAGAGAAGCTTAGTCTTGTGAAGGCCCTGTGTAGACTCTGACCTCAGTAGCTAAGTAGCCAGTAGCGGAAGCACCAAGCAGGAAGATGAAGAAATAAGCAAACTGTTAAACCTGCACTTGTGAAGGGCTAATGAATACTGTTGACCACATCTTTCTGAATAGCCTTTCAGAGCCACTTTTTTCGTAAATCATCATGTACATGATGGTGATTCGTTCTATACATGTTGCCATTTTGAGAAGGCTGACATTTTTCTTACCACTATTGTGATTTCCCTATTCTAAGACCCGGGTACTTAAAAACTCTCCTGCATGATTTTGAATTGAGTGGCCACTGCTAGATTAGGATTTGGGTCTTTTCCTTGTTGAAAGACCTATTTCTGGGAGACTTGCCTGGAATCAAATTATTAGCATGGGCTTATTGAATGTGGGTAACAGAATCCTGCTTATTAATGACAAAGCAATTACGAAAGATCTTACCAAGGCTTTCCTAGTTCTTCCACTCAAGTCTGATTTAGTGCTCAGCTGGGCACTTAACGAATTCATGCCTGTTGGGAAAGCCCTAATCCAGGGTTTCATTGTACCTAAAAAGAGACTAGTTGCTTTTCTGTCCCAGCTTTAGTTTTGTTGTTGTTATATAGAGCCAATCCTGTTTACTGGATTGCCTCTTAATAAGTTGTGAAGATGAACAGCCCCAGCTCCTGAGGGAGTTGAGGGTTAAAAGAGAAAACACATTTAAAAAGCGACCTCATACAGTGATTATTGTCATCATTATTTAGTTCTGAGAGAAGACAGTCACTGTATATTCAGTGAGCAGGAAAAAGTGTTGGGGTCTAAATGGTGCATGTAGAAGAGTCTCTTCTGCCTCATTGAGAGCACATCTCTCAAGGGAAAAAGATACTTCATTTGTACTCCCAGGCAACTGCAGTAGGTTCCATATACCTGTACATCATGGCCATGTGGCTTGAGGATTGGTGAAACTGGGAACTTGGCTATAATACCCTAATTTATGTCAGATAGACTGCATGGAATTTTTAAAGTGCACTGGTCAGATAGGAGCACAAAGAATTTTTGTATAAACTTACTGGTTCCTAGCACCAGTCTCTCTCATGGACACCTGGAAGAGCTGTTCCAGCATCACAGGCCTCAGAAAGTTTGCACTTTGAGTTCCTGGCTTGTCTTACCTCCCTATTGATTTGCAGCCCTTAAGAATTTCCGGCCAAGTAAAGAAATGGAACATAATGAGTGCAGAGGCAGAAGGCCCAGTGTTCTGTTTTGTTTTTCCTCATCATAGTGCCTATAAGCAGGTAATATCCCTGTATTTCAGGTTCTTCAGGGAAAAAGCAACAGTTCTCATTGAAGATCACTGACTGAAATTTAGACTGTCTGGCTTCTGATTTTGATATTGCCATTAAATGGGGACAGGCCAAACAGTTTTCTCAGAACTTCCTTTTCTTCATAAGTGAAAGGAATTGGTTGGATTTATTCAGCTTTTGCAAATTTGGTTTACTGGTTCAGTTTCACATGTCTCAAGGGGGTAGCTTCTACTCAGCCTCAGCTGATTGTTGTTCTAAGGACATAATATGGACAGATATTTCTGTTTTTCCAGATAAGCAAAATCTGGTGGATCTTTCTGTGCAAAATCTTCAGATTTTGAAGTGTCAGCAACTAATTTTAAAATACATAAACACACTTGCACATGTATGTTTATAGCAGTTCCCAATTCTGAATGCGGAACCAACCTAAGTGCCCATCAACTAATGAGTGGATAAAAAAATTGTGGCATATATATATACCATGGAATACCAGTTAGCCATTAAAAGGAACAAAATAATGTCTTTTGCATTATTCTAAGTGAAGAAACATAGGAATGGAAAACCAAAAATGATATGTTCTTACTTAAAAGTGAGAGCTAAATTATTCCCTTACATTGGAAGAAGAAATAGCTTTCATCTCCTGATTCTTCAAGTTGTCGATTAGTACAGAAAGGCATATAGAGTGATATAATGGACTTTAGAGACCCAGAAAGAAGAGGGTGGGAGGGGGCTAGGGATAAAAAAACTGCATGTTAGGTACAATGTACACTACCTGGGTGACAAGTCCACTAAAATCTCAGAGTTCACCACTATATAATTCATCCATGTAACAGTAAACCACTGTACCCTAAAAGCTATTGAGATAAAAATGCAAAGCAAATTGATATGTACTGTAAATATAAATTATTCATCAGATTGGTTAATATAGAAATTAGCATAAAGAATGTAAAATGTATTTTTGGTACATTGGGTTAAATAACATTATTTAAATGACCCATTAAAATTTTTTTAAAATAAAAATTAAGATTTTGTCTCTGGAAAGGATTGGTAAGATGGGTAACAACTGCATAATGCTTTCAAATTCAGTTGCTGCACATGTCCCAATTCCTTAGAAATGCCTGCTTAGCTGGCTGTCATCCTGGGCTCTGAAGTAATAATATGCCAAAAAAATAGTAACAGTATGTTATGAAGCTCATAGGCTACACTCCACTCAGATTTGGCCTTAAGGACCTCTAGTGTGTAACAAGGGTTAGGTAACTTCTAAGTTCTCTTCCAGCCCCTCTAAGGTCAGGGTAGAGCTGAGACTGTAACAAGGTCATATGTGGTGCCAGTGTGCAGCTGCCTGGATTAGGAACCTGGGTGGCTGGATCTGGTTGCAAGAGGAACAAGGGCCTATTTTTGTTAGAGCAGCTGACTAGGTCTTTTTCTAGACCTCAGTTACAATAAGAGTAACTTAATTCCTTACCTAATTAACAGGCTGTTTAAACTCATCTGTTTATATTTAGAAACTAGTTTTGTTGTTTGTTTTCTTTCCCACCTTTGTTTCCTGGTAAAGTTTCATTAGTAGAATCACAGCTTTGTTTCAACTAAGAGAAGAGGGATTTGTGAGCACAAAAGCTAAGAGAACTGAGGTGTCGTTATCTTCTTGGGGGCCAAGAGTGGAGACGATATCCCCCTCTGGGCCAGACTGGATTTTCCCATACCATTCAGGAAATCAAAACAAGTGTGAATGAGTACTCACCATGATGAGTCCCATCTGGTCTATTTCATTGTTTTTTAAGTGATATTCAAAAACACTGGAAAT